ATATATATGGGTTACTTCCTTAACCTTGGGATTCTGTAGAACACTATATATATGGGTTACTTCCTTAACCTACCGTTTTTCAGAAAACATTTTCTCTCTCTCACAAAACCATGCCTTAATTAAAAAAATAACAAACTACATTGAATTCAGTTAGATCATTTTTACCAAACTATCTCTCAACCTGTTAATGAGTTTTAGGATTCGGTTCTGATTTTAATCAATCCGTTAGTTGGTTTGGTGACTATGCATCACAGAGCAATGCATTGTGGGCCTAAAAAATCATAACTTATACTATAATTCTTATATCCACTTTAACTACAAAGTCTGCCATCAATAAATTAAAAGCCACATTTTCCAACAGTATAGAAAAAAAAAAGACACGATTTTTGTATTTAACCATTATTAGTTATTTACAATGACTCAAACATGCCTAGTCTATCTTCTGACTCATGGCTTACTTAGGCCCTCATGTGTTATTGATTTCAGAAACATTACATCCTAGCAATGTCCATACTAAACCCCCCCCCCTCACCCCAACAAAATACAGCTAGTCAAGAGCTAGATTCTACTCATTATCAACCAACATTGTCACTACCCTCCAAATAAATATAGCTAGCTAAGGACAGTTTCTATTAACTATAAACCAATATTGTCACTACCCTTCTCCCTTCCAAAACAATGTGGCTAACTAAGAATTTACTAGCTATGAACCGACACTGTCAAATGAGCTGACAAGTTGAGTTTTGTACAACACATAACTTGTGAAATAACTGTACTCACAAGTTATATGACTGATTCTGTTCCAATAAACTCGGTGATATTTCAAAATGCAAGTACATCTTGTAAAGCTGTTGACAGAGACATACACCAACAAAGTTCTAAGTCTACTTGAATAATTTTACACCTCTGGCCCTCAACTATCACCCCATAGGTCACAATCTCACCTGAAACCCTGGTTTCTGGCCAACAAAATCTCTTGGGCAAAAGTTGAGGACATTTTAGTACAGATTTTGCTTGTATTCCATGGTTAACTATATAATAAACTAGCCACTGGTCAACAAGGATGATTTCCTTCTTAAAGTGACATTTTCTTGATCACTTTCTCATGTCACCAGTGGCCTCATTCCCAGCTCATTACTTTCTGGCCATAATTAAATGGTTCTTGGCAAAAAATAATTGAAGACCAGTGGTCAATAGTTGTAAACTGTTACAAGAAAAACCCTGTTAGTCTAGTATTTCAAGCATTGTGTTACAGTCTATTTGATTTTCATTGTCACCGTAGAAAGATATATTGGCTCGTAAAATGAATTTTTATCAATGAATTATTACGGTTTATAATGTTGCCCGTATTGCAGTTGGTACAGCATGAACAGGTGTGTAAAACACTTGTTTAGGAAAACAAGGTGAAATATGGTAAAATAATATTATTTTTAATTCATTTAAAAACTGAAAAAAGAAAAAAAAAGACAAAAGCCCACAAAAAAAACTTCAGTATTTGTGATACCTGGAAATGAAAACGTGTAAAATTTATGTGTGCTATAATACACAAAGATTTGATGGCATTTTGAACAAGACGATTCGAACGTAAATGTTCTTCACAAAGTAGCTCAACTCAACACAATATCTTAATACGTAGGCTGTCTGCCTCGTCTGGACCCAAAAGAGCCTCTGGGTGGAGAAGGGGGAGATATTGCTATGTCCATATAGTCTCCTATTTGAAATCGACTTTTGGAAAGTGTCTTATTATCATCTGCACCCTTCTGTCCGGAACAGGTGCTCCCGATGTTTCTCATCCTGAAGCTCATGCTCCGGTTGTCTTGAAACACGAGAGCAAAGTCAAAATACGTTCCTTTCCTTCGAGAATCTGGATTAACCTCCTTGACTAAACTTGTTAGTTCTTTCAATGTAGCATCCATCCTAGGATTCCAAGCACAAAACAGAGACAAGTATAAGTACTTTTTTTTTACAAAAGAACAAAATAAAAGAAGGTAAACTAAATTAAACCAAACAATCTTCCATATATAATTACATTGTACAATCCATAAAATCAAAACTTCTGAGCTCTTAGATCTCAATGTTACTAGTTTCATCTGACAAGTATAAGTTACTTTTTTTTTTTTTACAAAAGAACAAAATAAAAGAAGGTAAACTAAATTAAACCAAACAATCTTCCATATATAATTACATTGTACAATCCATAAAATCAAAACTTCTGAGCTCTTAGATCTCAATGTTACTAGTCTCATAATGCACACTTTCATACGCACACTTAAAGTTTCACCCACTTCTCAATCATCGTCACGGTTAGTAGCCTATACAATTATATGTCTAATTATTAATTAAAAACTTCTTTATATACATATATATAAAACAAGTTTACCAGGACACAATGAAAACAACGGAGAGCTTATATTTTCTTTAGAAATATCACATAGCCACATTGTTTTTGTTTCATATAATCAATGAATGTTATTTTTGGAATAATATTCAGTTAACGTGAAGATAGTCTTAGCGAAAGGACTGAAGGCTTGCTATTAAAACAGTTTTAATATAATGTCAACCTGTTTTGTGTGTCTTACTAAATGATTTTTTGTTTCCAAACATTGCAAGTAGTTCTTTTATTTCCTTGAATATTTCAATACACTCACTAAAAACTGGTTTATGTCACATGTATTAACCCATGGTTGAAACAACCGAGGGTTGGTGATCAAAGTATCTTTAATAATTAACTGCATGTTCCATATTCGGCCTCTATTTTGACCTTCTGGCGTGTTATACTACTAGTGTGTTCAACATGTTACAATAATGATTTCTCATTAATTCAAGTTTGTTCAGTTTTGGGCTAGCATGGCTCAGTGATTAGGATGGTTACCTTGTGATTTCAGAGTTGTGGGTTTGACTACTTCTGCCATCAACCCTGCTAGCTTTTTTAGGGGTGTTAAATCCTTTTCTTGTTTCTGAGTTTCAGCTGCTATGGCTTTCTACCGCTACTCATAATTTTTAACTGTCAGCATCCACTACCAACTCTTTTTAGCAATGAATTGTGGGATTGATCATGACAACTATTAATACTTTAGTTGGTACAAACGTGAGAGCCGGTACACATGCACTCTGTCTGTACACAACTCATGAATGTGGCCTAGTACCTCTGGTTATATAACTAGACACAGTGATACCAGTTTAACACCATCAAGTAATTAACCTATTTATACGAGTACCAGTTTAACACCATTAAGTAATTAACCTGATTATATTAGTACCAGTTTAACACCATCAAGTAATTAACCCATTTATATGAGTACCAGTTTAACACCATCAAGTAATTAACCTATTTATACGAGTACCAGTTTAACACCATTAAGTAATTAACCTATTTATATTAGTACCAGTTTAACAACATTAAGTAATTAACCTATTTATATGAGTACCAGTTTAACACCATTAAGTAATTAACCTATTTATATGAGTACCAGTTTAACACCATTAAGTAATTAACCCATTTATACGAGTACCAGTTTAACACCATCAAGTAATTAACCTATTTATACGAGTACCAGTTTAACACTATTAAGTAATTAACCTATTTATATGAGTACCAGTTTAACACCATTAAGTAATTAACCTATTTATATGAACAGGACTTCTGTTTAGTTACAACTAATTCCAGCTAGATAGGAAGCACTGAAAAAGGAAAACAAAAGTCTGGCTATAATCATGTGCTGTTTAAACACTTCTTAATACAGAAAGATTTAAGTTGTTTGATTTACTGATATTTCAGCATGTACTGTACTGTAAAATGTAAACACATTAATCAAACTGGTGTATTTACGTGTTTTACACTCACAAAAAAGAAACCTATCATTCTATAGGTATTTGAAGAACTTGTAGCAATTCGCCAAAACTTAATTATTCGTATTGTTATCTGACACTGGGCAGCTTGTACATAATTGAATAAGTAGAGTTGTTTAAACATTTGTTTAACAACAAGTTAAAGCTTGGAATGGTCTACTCTTTCATTGGAAAAAAATTACTTCATAATAACTGTAGAAAATACAACCCTGCTCTGGTTACTATGGAAAATATCCCACTACTCAAGTTAGTAGCAACTGTAAGAGGGTGATATTTTATTTAAAGAAAATACAACCTTGCTATGGTTACAGTGGAAAATAGCCCACTACTCAAGTTACATTCACCTTTATTCAAAATTCTTTCTGTAGTCATTCATGTTATATTGTCTACAATTACATAAGAACAGGAGTCGGACATTTTAGCATTAGCTGGTGGAATCACACAAGACACTACCACGATGTTTTACAGTTTGTAAATATGATTTATTTATCATACTCCGATTGTTGACTGTGTTGCAAATCTAAGAAAATTCTTAGGAAAACAAAGCCGACACAGCACAGGATTCATTTTTTTTTTCAGCTTTCTATTTTTAATGTAACTCACCAGGTGTAAATCTGAAGTTCGTTGTCCGGAACATTCCCTCGAGAATATTCACTCAAAGGATGGTGCCTCACTGTACTGATAAATACCCTCAGTAAAAGTGGACATGTCTAATAAAAAAAATCGAAGACGTATTGGTATTACGAATGAAACTGAATGTACACAATTAGTTTAATGTTTGTAGCCACATTAATACATATAAAAAGGAACAAATTTCTTTTCATAAATGTTTCTTATCTACACGTAACGTATGTAATTAATAACTCTCACAATCAAAACTAAAAGGCACATCATTTAAAAACAAAAAGTACTATAATATTCTATACACACATAACTATTCACTGGGCTGTTAGTGTAATTTGCTAATCAATTAATTTTTTGAGCTCATCAATTGATTACTCTTACATGACATTTGGCTAGTTGGAATAATCAAAAATAATAAAAATTAATTTTAATCAATTGATTATTGTCACGAGTCATGCTGATAATCAGTTAAGCTGAACAAACCTTGAATTAATAAAAAATAATAATGAGAAATCATAACGGAAATATTTTGATTGCTTGCATAGTTTGAATAATCAAAAACAATAAATAACAGGAAACTAATTTTGATTAGTTATTTTAGTGTCATTAATTAAGGTTCATAGGTAATCAATTATATCGAGTTAATTGCCTGGCTCTACTCTTTATTACCAATTCCTAATCAAATTATCAGCAAATTTTAGTTAAGATAACATAGGTCTTCCATATGAAGCTGTTAGATTATCGTGACATTGATGTTTAGTTTGAGGCACTAAAACCTTGAGTTTATAAAAGAAAGAACACATTTGTGCCAATGAGGAGAGGATAATTTGTTTTTCTTCGTGACATAGCATAACATAAACCTTACTGGTAAACCTTTCTTCTAAAATGCCATTTCAAATAAATACATAGTTATTATATGATAAACCTCTCTTTTTGATTAAATAATGATGTCATTTGGCTAGTTTATATCCAACGAGCAGCAGTAAACAGTGAATCTTAGTATATTAAAATGAGGGTCAAAGTGACAATGTGGATGTTTAATATAAACTTAAAAAACACTGTACACAAATTTACATTAGGTTAAAAGTTATATATTAATGGGTCTTAAAATAGCTTAGTTCACTAAGATAAGGTTTAATGAGTATTAGTAATACTATACTAACAATGCAACACATTCATTAAGTTTTAAGTTTAACGAATGGCAGTATTCAGTTTACATTTTATATATTTAACTTGTAGTTATTCAATATAAAGCAACAAATTGTATCAATATAGGTCAAACAGTTTGTAAAATTACTTTTTCCCTATCTATAGGCTTTTCTTGATCCTTGTTATCTTCAACGACTGACTCGACTACAGTAGCCATATTTCATCATAAGGTCTCATGCCCTCTAGTGAGTATTGAACTAGTTACTTTTTTGCAACTTTGTCTTAAAATAATTGTATATTATTGAAAATATAACGTTAACGAAATGCAAAACAATTGCACAATCCACTGAATACGGCTAACTGGAATGAGTTTCATACACGTTCAGAACTTTTGAAATGATTTTGTTTGTTTTTAAATGTGTATATTTTATTTGAAATAGTCTGAAATTAATCCATGTTAGGTATTAAGAACTAAGAAAATTCTTAGTTTATTTAGTAATACAAGTGAGGTTTCGTCTCGATAGTACTTTTTAAAAGCAAACTATAAAGTTGAGTATGATAAAACGACTTCAAATATACAAGTTAGGAAGCCACATAACAAAAACAGCCGAAATAAATTCATGATAAAACGGAATACATCAGAACTACAATTTGATGTTGTTTGACATTCGTAAGTAGGATGTGTATAGCCCTTCTGACGCAAAATATTCACATACTTAGGTAATAAATGTGTGTCCAGACAGAAAATTTAGAATTTCCAAGACTAGAACATTTCTGTACTTAATGGCTTTGTTTTGTTTTTGCTTTGAATTTCACGCAAAGCTACTCCAATTGTGCTTCAAACAGTTTCAAGTTCAATTCATTCATGTGGGATGTGATGCCAACCAAAAATGACAACTTTGACAGCCAGGTAGGATCTGACAGAAGTGGATCAGCTCTATCCTTTTCGGTGAGAAAAATATCAATTTCTCTTCGGAGCTTATAAAAACGAAACAGGACTTTACCGTAGCTGAGCCACCTCACTGCTGTGTGATAAGGCAAGTCACATAATTCAGAATTAATTTCTTCAAGAAAAGCCTGGAACTGTTGGTGATTAAGTGCATGACTCCGAATGAAGTACACAGAAACCATTGGTTTTAGTACGCAAGAAATATCTAAGTCTTTCCCACAAAGTGCTTGCTGATGTACAATGCAGTGTATAAACATAGCGCCCGGGAGTTGAAGATCTTCCAACTTAGTTCGTATCTGCCCCACCAGACCCTTCCTCACTCCAGCCATGGTTTTTCATCCATCAACTGTAACACATCGAAGCTGATTCCACTGAAGGTTATAGCCTTGCAAAGTTTTCTGCACTTCCATGAAAATGTCTTCTCCAGTTGTA